CATTTTCCAACTCCCCTAGAGTTAAACAGTTGAGTTTTACCGTTTTCGAATCCATTCAGCCGATCTCTGGGTCTGGCGGTAGCAATTTTAGCTGTAGCTTAGCATAGATCATTGAATCGGATTAGACCGTTAGCATCTCGCTCAAAAATGACCAAAGAGTTTCGATATTTTTCCTATTTAAAACTTGACTCTTCTGTAGTTACATTGTGTACTAAGACTGATGGAAAATTAATAGTTGTGATTTTCTAGGCCGATATGGCTAGGAACTATACTCTCATTCCGGCGTAATAATCAAGGAACTTTGCTGCTGTACCATGGGTGCAGCAGGTGCAATGATATTACGCAGCGCCTGAAAATAGTCCCCAGCACGCTCCCTGTGCTAGTAGGTGGTCACGTTTGTTATGTAAGTTAGCCTATTTTCAGGCGCAGCTACATATAGCCAAAAATGTAAATACACAAAAGTACAAAAACAAGCAATGTAAGATTGTAGGACTTCGTCATGTGAAAATTGATGTGTGTGAAAGTCTTATCTGTAGTACATCAATATCCAAACACCGTCCATAGCTGAAGTCGGCTGATAGCAAATTAATAATCCAACCTCTTGTAATGAAAACACGCCAAACTCTCAAACACCAAACTCTTCCTAACCAGCAACAATCAAAAATAGTCCAGACTACGCTCTCCATCAAAAATAATTTTAAATCCATATTCAAACTGGACCATGATGTGGTGTCCTCCCCAATAAAGAGTCCTTCTAAAATAAACTGTCTTAAACTCTTAGCATCAATCCAAACATACACTGTAAAAAAAAAATCTGTGACATTTACGGTAAAATACCGGCAGCTGGGGTTGCCAAAACTTCACCGTAACAAATACGGTAGCAACATTAAAGGTTTTACAGACTTGACTTAAATTCACAATAAAATACCGTATTTCATTAACTGATGTAATGTTAATAAACCAACACAGTTAAGTACTAATATGTGTTTTGAACCATTGTAATGCACTGATAACCACCAAAAACTGCTGGTGACGAGAAAGTCACACGATGAACCAAAGCTCATCACAAGCAGCTTTTAAATAATAACATATATAGAAGGTGCACAGCGTCATTCACACAAACACTAAACACCATCACGGTGACACACATGACACTGAAATAATGCAATAAACATTCATTTAACGACATTAGATGTAAGATTAAACCCTAACGTACACAACTGATACGGAAAAACTAAAAATAAACATTTATTTCAACAAAAAACATCAAATATGAAGCGCCATGCAGGGAATTCAGGGAGTGTCACACATGACTTTTTCACTGTAAATTATACAATTACTTTTTTTTTCACTTCCAAAAACCGTATTTTTAACAGTATTTTACTGTAGAATCACATTAAATGTAATTACACGTATTCACCGAGTACGGAAACTTACTGTTAACCAGTTTTAACAGTAAACAGTCTTTTACTGTTAAACTCACAATCATTTTTTACAGTGTAGGCCATACATACATGTACCATCTCTGCGAAAAACATCAGCAATGCACACTTTTAAATAGAAAGAAAAACCTCGTTTAGACTGGGCTTGAAATGACACATTTCCCAACCAGGACACAGCACGATAGGGCCTTTCGCAGCGCGGGAACCTTTTCATAGTACCAGAACTAATTGTGGAACTACCCACTTATTGGCGTGTTCACACCGCCGGAACTGGGTGCGATTTTAGTACCGGACTGCCTTTTTCGAGAACCAAATTAGCTCCTACTCCGGAGCAGGGTCTAACCAGCACAACTGGTACTAATCGTGACGTAAGTAGACATTGATTGGCCAAACGCGTATGAAAACGCCCTCACCCGCCATGATTTAAAACACAGTGTAAATATACTGTAAACATTGTGTCAACTTATTTCGCAAGTCTGGAGAACAGCGATAGATGGACGGACGCTGAAGTGCAGGCACTTGTAGCAAATGTAGCACGGCCAGTTTTCGTTGGAGATTCTTAGTCCTCCTTCCCGTTCGTATACGTCGACTTTCCATGTGCATTATTGTGAAACCCGCGAGACACAACAAACACAGCTCCGATCACAGCGTCCTCCATCCTCCTGTTGTTAATGTTGTTTTTCTTTGTTTTCGTTGTTGAACGCCGCGCACAAATGACGACGCTGTCGATCGGTTCCTAGCACACACTCTCGGTGTGAATGCAACCCTTTAAATGGTACTGGGAAATAGTTCGCGCAAAATCGTGCCAGTACTTTAGTACTGTACATTTAGTTCTGGAACTAAAGCGGTGCGAAAGGCCCTAATGTGTTCAGCAGGTGAGCCATGCTGGCTACTGCTAACTCTCTCTACCACATGGCTTTACTTAAGGAAACCTAAAACACTCTAGCACCCCTAGTGGTAAGGAAGAAAACTGCCCACACAATTCATATTAACGGGGTCATGTCTGGCCCACACTGGGTTAATGTGGGCTGCTCACAGAGAGCCCAAAGCTGTGGACCTGTTTAGGCTTGGTGTGGGCTGGCCCTAGCCCACGGTGCCCGCAATAAGCCAGCATTGGCCCCCCAAGGACATGTTTGTATTGTGCAGAGCCAGTGGTGGTTTTGTAGGCAAACATTAATGCCTTGAATTTTATGCCAGCAGCTACTGGTAGCCAGTGCAAACTGATGAACAGAGGTGTGACATGTGTTCTTTTCGGCTCGTTAAAGATTAATCTTGCAGCAGCATTTTAGATTAATTGTAGAGGTTTGCTAGAAGTGTCTGGAAGACCTGCCAAGAGAGCATATATACCTGGAATATATATTTCTTGCTGGATGACGGACCATCACCTTCAACTATATATATATATATATATTAATTACATAAAAATAAAAGGATTAAATAAAATCAGATCACATGATGGTACGAATAGTTTAACACAGTAACATCTATTTCTTTCAGTCCGGCGTCCCACTTTAAGAACGTGATGTAAAATATAAATAGTTCGCGATAAGACTCTTGCACCTAATAAAGTTTCTCAGATTTCTCTCTGACTCAGAGCGCAGCATGACGGAGGAGCGACGTGATGACGTAGCGCGGGCCGCGCCGCGCCGGACGCGTCATCAGCGTGAGACGCTGCCACGCGACAGCTGTTATGATTACTACATGCCTCCACATGACAAGTTTGAGTTCTGATTCTTAGGGCCTCGCAGCGCGTGTGTGTGGTCGGCGATGGTGTTGAGGAGAGTTTGTGAGCTCGTGATGCAGCATGAGTGATTACTCTCTTCAGCAGGAGAACGAGCTCGAGGCGCTGTCATCGATATACGGAGATGACTTCAGAGACATCCGAGCAGAGCTTCCCTGGAAGGTATTCCGGTTTGTGTGTGTGTGTGTGTGTGTTTGTGTGTGTGTGTGTGTGT